GGACAGGCAGGTCTCTGCTTTGCATGAGAGAAGTCAAACGAGAGACGGGAGAGAGAGAGAGAGAGAGACACGCTGAGAGAGAAACTTCAGCAGAGATTACAGAGATCCTCCTGCTGCCTTTGTAGACTCATAATTCGCGCTCATAAATGTTGAAGCATTCAAGGAAATTCCTCCCAAAAAAGCCCTTCACTTTCACACGAAACGGAGCTGGGTTGTGCCTGGCCGGATCCAGTCTGCCTTAACTCTCCCGCCCTCCCCGCTCTGCCCCTCTCTTTGGGGCCGTGTCTGCTGCTAAATGCCAAAGCTGCTGGCTGTCAAGTGTTGCTTCCTTTTAAGGCCAGCAAAACGGCGCCTCATCAGGCGGGATAGAAGGGGAGACGACTGTTGAGTGGAAGTTGGCGCTGCAGCTAAGGCAATGGTATGCCATGGAGCCCCCCCCACCGCCTGGCACCATCATCATCATGCTTGGGCTTCTTTGAAAGTGAAATTTCCGAGTGTAACACATGCGATGACAATGCTGCCACAGCAACCGGCAACCAGCATATGAAGCCCCACAGCATTCACAGCATTCACAGCATTCACAGCTCTCTTCGCAACAGATGATGCCTTGACATTGTCGAGTGTGCGGCATGGCATGATGCCGCATGAGGCTGCGGTACGGCCCAAGAGCGATCTTAAATGGAATCATTGTCCCATTGAGGAATCATCTTGTGGCACAAGCGAGAGAACTGGGTTAAGTTCCGGGCAGCAAAAACGGAATTATGAATGGCCACGGAGGGAGAGAGAGAGAGAGAAGGATTCGCTCCTCGAGATCGAACAGTGAAATGATTGAATGAGTGAATCAATCGTTGGCTATCCATGAGTGCACTCACTCTTCCACACTTCTATCCTTTAACCATTATTGGATGTTTTTGGCTCATTTACTTTCTGTGTTCTCTTTTCAACTGTGAGGGGGGGTGGCGAGGGGATGCCATTGAACAGATTGTGCGCTGAAGGGAGGCGAAGGGCGGGGAGGGAGGAGGGAGGATGCTGATGCCTGATTCCGAATTCGAGGCACGCTCCGTGCATAGAGAACGAGCGAATCATTTGCAACAGTTGAACAGTTCGTTTATATTGTAATTTGATTTGAGAGACACCAGAGACACCAGAGAGAGAGGGAGAGGGGGGGCTGGAGGGTAAATGTATTATCACCCCTTGACTGTCCCCCGTGTATCCTTGAGGTCATTCCATTCCCGTTGACCACCTTTCTGGGGCAATAGGCAATGCAATCAACTCGCCTCACATGAGACAGCTGTCTAGGTCCTGTCATTGCGGGCACAGCCTTGCTGCTGTCAAGCCCTGCTCCTTGGCCTGTCCTTGCGGCCAAGAGGACGACCATTCATTTATCATATCCCTACGACAGAGCTGCTGTCAGAGCAGAGCTCTGCCTCTGGCTGCCCTTCGTCGATCAAGTGTAAGCTTTAAAGGCAGCGAGGACAAAGGAGTCCCACTCATTAGCTGAAATCCCTTTGCCACTTTCCAATTAACTTTCTGCTGCTTTCACTGGCCTCTCACTGGAGGAGGGGGGAGGAGCAGGGAAGGGGTTCATCTCTGGCGATTAAATCAAATTGCACATTCGGGCCCAATAATCCATTTAACGGTGGGGCCCTGCCGCCAGCCCATCTTGGATGCCTTTCATAGCGAAAGGGCTTTGAACCCTTTTTGTTGCCACATTCCCTGCGTGGGTGTGGGTGTGGGTGGGGCCCGGCCCCAACCCCAACCCCAACTTGTTGATGATTGATGGCCGTGTGTGTGTGTGTGGGCGAGTGGAATGTGTGTCCTTGAACTGATTGGCGATTGGCCTGGCCCAGCATGCTGGCCAAACAATAAACATTAACAATAGCCAAGAACAACAGATAGTGAGATAAATAAACTCGATTAAGGGTAAAAAGCAAAGGCTTAAAGAGATTTAATTCAAAGTTAATTTCGTAATTAAAATTTCAAGCAGATTCGTGAAGAGAACCCCACCCATGAATCTTCGGAGCAACAATGTATTTTATTTAAGAGGATTTCGACGATTTTTCATAGGCATACATTTTGTTGTTGGCCTTTGAGAGGAGGCCCTGGCGGTGCTTCAAAACGGAAAATAATCAACAAAACTTCTAAGATCAAAGCTTCGATTGATACCATTTCTTCTTGGCTTTCTGTACGTTATGTACATACATATGTATATGCCCTTCATCGGAGAGGCAATATATCTGGTCTTTAAAGAAAGAAATCATGACGGAACACCACCCTCCCACCCGGACATGGGCCGGGACCGGGACCGGGACCGGGACCGGGACTTTGATTGAGATTGAATAAAATCTGACAGGGGCATGAGTCAAGCCCCCCTCGGAATCCGATGACAATTCACGCACATTTTCCATTTGTTGTTATTTGTATTGTATACCTTCCTCTGTCCTCTGTTCCCGCCACCATGGGTGATGTTTGCTGAAATATATTGAATGTACATACATACATACATTAATACATATGTAATGTCGTGTCGTGTCGTGTCGTGTGTTGGTTTATCCACGGGAATGCCTAGTGTTGAGGTCTGGGGTCTGGGGTCTGGGGTCTGGGGATAGTCATGTTTGCGTCTGGTTTCTATTTTTAGTGCGCAAGTTTTATTTTTAGACAATCCGACGCACACGCACACGCACACGCACACGCACACAATCACTGACAACTGCACACAGAGACAGAGAGACAGAGAGAGAGAGAGAGACACACGTGTGGAGCAGCAAACAACTTTAACTGGAAAAAAAAGTACATATCACTGCAACTTGTTGCACTGCCACTGCCCGAGAGGGGGAGACGGCGAGGCAGGGAGGATGGAGCACCCCGAGGCGTCCCACGTTGCGGCTACGCGATATATATTTTTGCTTTTTTCGGTTACACAACATCGCGTCGTGTGCAGACCTGTGCTATACCCTTGAAAAAAAGGGTATTGGCACGCCTAGAAGAAGAAAGAATCATACATCCAGATATTTGATCCGCCCTTGGAACTATCGTTCGTTATTCTTTCCTTAAAGTGTGCGCAAGTAGGGGACTACAAAGGGTATTTGCTTGTGTTCCGCAACGATCTCCATATATATTTCAGTGGCAGCGATCGCTTTTCAAGGGTATCGAATGCGTCGGTAAGCGACTTGGGCGTTGCGTTCTCTCTCTGGCTTGTTTGTTTGTTGATTACAACTAAGCTCTGCTCTGCTCTGCTCTCGCTCTCGCTCTCTCTCTGCATCTTGTGCTCTCGAGCAGCGCTCTCGCTGTCCCTCTCTTTGCTCTCGCACTCTGCCGCCGCGCCGCTCTTTGGGCTGTCGGTCTGTCCGCGTGCTTTTTTCCCCATTTCGTTAAACGTTTTATCACGTCCGTCGTCGTCGACGTCGTCTCCCTGTGCTGTTGCTCTTTTCTCATATTTTCCTTTGAAATGTGATTCTATTTTTAGAATCGAATTGCTCGCCCGCTCTCTTCTGCCTCTCGCTCTCTCGCTCTCGCTCTCTCTCTCTCTCTCTAGCCGTGTGTGTCTGTTATTCTTTGCTGCTCTCTGTTTACTTTATAAATATTTAAATTGTTGTCACGTACTAAGTTCTTAATAGGTTACGTTATGTGTTTATTTAACTCATTTTGATTAGAAGTCGAGAAAATACGAGAATATGTATACGGAAGAAGAAGAGCGCCACAAGCGCCGTACAAGTACGGAATATACACATACTATATATACTATATCCTATCAATAACTACTGAGTAAACCTACCATCCACCCCCAGACTAACTGATTCCCGTTCAAAGTTCAACTTTGGAGTTTACTCCCCCCCCCCCCCCCCCCCCCCAACAGATGTTCAACCCAAAGTTCTTTGAAATTAAATGTTTACTCAAGTGCAATTAGGAAATAGAAATAATGGAAAATATAAACACTGACACAGGCACAGGCACAGGCAAATCTAACATATTCTTAATTAAATAATTTTAAATGTCACACAAAGCATACGAAAACTAGAAATTCCGAATTTCTGCCTCGCCCCGACCCTCGCACAGCTGTGCAAAAATATTCAGGAACAAAAAATGTACCATTTCCATGGAGGAATATTTAAACATTTAATAAATGACTTGCAATAATGGAAATTGGAGCAATCGAATGGCATTCTTTAGATACATTCTGATATTACATACAAAGAGCAAAAGGGAACGTTATATATAATATATAGCATCCAGAATTTTACAAAATTTCCGTCTTTCTGAGTCAGATCATAGATGATGCTAAAGTTTAGCGCCCTTTGAGCCCTTGACCCGACCTCTCGATCGGCAGGGCTTGAGCAGAGGAAGAAGAGCAGACACATTGGAAGAAGAAAAGTTGTAAGATAGGGATAAAAGGGAAAGACTTGGAGAGGATTAAGGGTTTTAATATCGAAACCGGAAGGCTGCTCTTCTTTGGCTGCTCTTCCTTCCACATCGCCCATCGCTACCATCTCCCTACCTGTAGGGAACATCCCCTCGGCCCACCTAGTAGCGAAATCTGATTACAATACGTTTTTCGCCAGAAAACAATACCCTAGCTGTGACTTTTCTTAAAGAGTAGCTCTTATGATCGCTCTTCTGATCATTTCCAAGAAGGAAGGACCTTAGATACGATGCCTGTGACGAATTTTCAGCATATTTTCGAGAATATCCACGTTTTTGTCTTAAACTTACTTCGTTTGATGCGCCATGCAGCAGCACCCCTCGGCCAGTTTGCATTTACGCTCTTATGGCTCCCCCATACTGGTAATACTCGATTGGTGTTCGTTATTTTTTTATTGAAGGTCAGTTTGGAATTTTGAATTTGGAATTTGGAATTTGGTTAGAAGTCTGAAATCTTCGATTTGCCTATTTTGGAATTTCGACTAGAGCAATTTTGGGGCTGAGCCCGTTCCCAGATGTCAGATGCCTGATGCAGACGGGCTGTGTACCGGGGTGGGGGGGGACACTGGGGCTCTGCAATTCTACGAGGCCACATAGTTCTTGGTGGGCTTTTTGAGGTCGCCCGCAATCTTCTTGATGGCCGGCGGAATATGCTTCGCCACTCCCGGCTGCGAGCTGAGGAACGAGATCTCGAAGAGGGCGGGACGGCTCGAGTAGACGTTGTGGAGCATGCTGATGAACCAGAAGAGCAGATCGTCCATGTTCTGGAGGGTGCACTGGGCGAAGACGGCACCCGCATCGCGGCCGTGCTGGTGGGAGTCGAAGAGGGCGACGATCGAGACCCGAAAATCGAAGGTCACCATCACCGTTCGACTGTCCGCAATGATGGCGGCGAACAGCTGGGTGGGTGCCACCTGGCCGATGGCCTGCTGGAAGACCTGCAGGGTGATCTGGAAGATGCGGGACAGCTGCATGGCCACGTTCCGGTTGTACATGGGACTGGAGGTGTCCGCCTCCATGTGCGTGTAGAACCACTCCTCCAGCCGGAAGTTGATCTTGTGCTGCGACCGGATGGCCGCAATCGCGTCCGGGATGTTCAGGTTGAGGTTGCGCACGTGCGGCGTGTTGGCCGAGATCACGTTGTGGTAGACCTTGTTGCCATCGTTCATGGCGTTGCCGAACAGCTCCAGGCCGCGTGGCGGCATGTTCGACACCCGGTGGTAGAACCGCTCCGCCTTGGACACCTTGTCGGCCAGGATCAGCGAGATGAGGGTGCACGAGTTGGTGCCGCTCTGCTGGAACTCCCCGAATCTCGACTGGCAGAAGTCGCGCGGGAACCACCAGATGTTCAGGTTGTCGATCTGCTCGTGTATGGCCATCTTGGTGCAGGACCTTCGTCTGCGTCCTCTTCTGGCAAGGCTTTTGGCGGCTTCGTTCACTCCTTCTTGTCTGCTCTCTTCTGGCACTCCTGCCCCTGCTGCTCCTGCTGCTCCTGCTGCTCCTGCTGCTGCTCTTGGCTCTCACATAGTATTCTCCATGTGGATTCACCCTTCAACAACAGCAGTACCTTGGACGTGCAACGTGCAACGTGCACGTGAATTACAACGCAGATGGCTTCTTCGCTTGCTCCGGCTCCTTACTCGGCTCCTCCTCTCCAGTACACTCCAGGGGCGGGCACTCGGTCCTAGCCGAACATTGAATTTTGCGTGTCCTTTGCCGGTGGAGTAATCAGCGGGAAAAGATACAGATCTTCCGGAATCGAAAAAAAAAAACAACAAATTTCTAGACCAACAATTGACAAATAACGAACAAGATGTGAGATTTGGATACCGACTGGACGGGGAACCGATCTGCCAAATCGAGTGCCTTCACCGATTTGACAGGAAAGAAACGGGTATCGGGACTATCGATATATCCATTTCAATCCATTTTCAATTTTCCATTTTCCATCAGACTCATGATACTTCGCTCTAGATGAATCGGATTAATTCCAAGAGCTAAAAAACCTTGAGTTCTGGCTTCTTTTGGACGTGTCTTTAATCCCCGAGTAATCCCAGACACCATCCACAGGGACTTTCTTAGCTCTAAATGCTATTTAAATGGAGTAGTATTCAGGGGGATTAGTCATTTGTTTGCTTGCCGATTCGGCGGAACTGGAGGCCAGTCGCGGTCTCTGAGCCCCGTTAAGCTTTATTCTAGGAATGGGAACACTCTATTTTAAAACTGGCCTAAACGGAGATTCTTGGAAACGCGCTCTTCGCCGTGTGTCAAAATTCTGCGCAAATATTTATCAGTGGCGCCCAAAATTAGCCAAGGCCCGGGGCCAAGTAGTTCTAATTTTAAATTGCAACATTGGCAAAAAAAAATAAAAAAAAAAAAAAACAAACTAAAGAATAAACAACGGACGGACGGACAGAGGGACGGACGGACCAGCACGGGCGGTAAAGAAACAAAAATAAAATCGAGAAACAAATATGTGAAGTGTGTCGGAAATGCTAATTTATGGTGGCATGAGCGCTCTGGGGTGTTGATTGAGATTGAGATTGAAGAAGTGCTTGAAAGATTGCTGGAATGCCTGAATGGAGCGCCGTACAAGTTGCTCAAGAGTCTCGATTTCCAAGAAATATTCCCGGAACTCCCCTTGGGATTTCTTTCACGAATAAATGCCAGTAAATAATGTATAATCAACTGAAGGGAGATATCCGAGGAATGGTAGCAACCTGCAGAAGCCCCGCATAGTGCCTATTCGGGAAGACTTTTCAAGAAACTTTGGCACTACATTTCCCGACCATTTTAATATGAGTTTTCCTTTAGACTGTTGTGCATAGATGCAGGGTGTTCATTGTACCCAAAAACGATGTATACTTATTTTTAAATTCAATGCTAAATTAGCCAAGTGACTCTTTTGAACTGTTGCTGATTTTAATGGGGTTTTGACCTTAAAGATATGTCAATCGGCTGCTAATATCGGGACCCACATTTATGAGGTTTTTACTTATTTATTTGTTAACAATTTTCATCTTCAGGTGCCGCAAATAAACGTTCCACAAAATGTCTGAAATGTGGCAATAAAAATTGCAAAATAAATATTTAGCAACCTGAAATGGGGCTCATTTGTTGGTATAATTCAGGCCTAATTAATACTTTAATGTATCGCTTTCCGTTGTTGTACATTCGTTAAAGTGAAACGTGAGGGTCTAAGGACGAGCTCAAACAAAGGACGAACAGCAGCACTATCCTGGCTCTATCGCTGCTCCGCCACAGAGCCCGTCCCGTAATCCATTTTGAATGGAATGCGCTTTCCTTCCATAACAAACAATCTGAACAATGCTGAGGCAAGCATCTGGAATGGGCTGCTGTCGGGGCGGGGGGTGGGATAATAGGAGGACAAGCAATGCCAGGGACAAAATCAGGGATCCATCCAACCATCTATCCATCCACCCACCAGCTCTCTCACTCACTCACTCACGGTAATACGATACGGTTAATACCTCAAACGAAATTGCATAATGTGGAAATCAACGCGTACGCGTGCCATAATTAATGATAACGAGCCATGGCATGCCATGCAGTCGGAAGCGAGTCCCCCCAACCCCACCGCACCCCACCTGAGGAGGGGATAGGTTCCTCTAAGCCGATAGATGGATGGGTGGCTTGGGTGCCATACCGGGGGGAACGGACGGCAGGGGCAGCCCAAAAGGATTTCCTTTGGAGTTCTCTTGGCAATTCCCAGATTTTTATCGTTTTTGTTTTGTTCCTTTTCTTATCTGGCGTGTGTGGACTGTGGGCTGTGAAAGTCAAGGCCATCGGCAACAGTTGACATTTGACTTCAGCGCCAGCGCCCAGCTCCAGCCCCAGCCGCACTCCTAACACCATTTCGTTGGCCATCCACTTGTCGTTCAGGAGAACAGTCCAGTGCAGACTCTCCTACTGTTTGTGTCGGCTTCAAAGGCACGTGTAATACCCTGACCCAACGGGTAATTGCATTTTCCCAGAAGCGACAAAGAGCTTGTAGGAAATATCCTACATAACGCGAAATTCCTGGCTTAAAAATGTGCACCCAGTTGCTGTTCTTGGAAGGGACAGGCATTTAGGCGCCTGTTGCCGCAGGGTCTTATCCGTTCACCTTTTTGAGGGTTAGGAGCAGTCCAGGAACAAACCACAGCGAAGATAACGTTTATCCCCTACACGCAATGCATGTTGTTTCGAGCTTCCATGTGCAGAGAGAAAGGGAAACGCTAGAGAAGGGTATTACCCCTTTCGATCTTTGACAAGGCCCAGACTTTCTCTCCGGCTTGGTTTTGTTTTTGTGATTGTGTTTGTGTTTGTGTTTGTCTTTGTCAAACATGCACTTCATCATGCACCAGAAGTGCCAGTGATGGAGTCCTCGGACTGGGATTGAATTGCATCCGCACTTAACTCTGGATATCGTTCCTCCGCTCATGTGCATGTGTTTGCTTGTGTCCCTCTCGTTGCAGTGTGAGAATCTGTTGGGACCCATAGGCGTCGCGCTGAACGGCCCCGGCCTAAGGGGCCATGACGCGTTGGCCCTTTAATCTACTACTCTTGCTGTCGGTGGCAGTGCGCGACTGTAGCAATCATCGCACCGTCCTCACAGTTGGCTATCTGACGGCTCTCACTGGCGAGCTCAAGACGCGTCAGGGCTTGGCCATATCCGGTGCGCTGACGATGGCCCTGGATGAGGTAAGACTCCCTAATTGGCGGCTCCGTGCAACTGAGTCCGTAATAATCCATCCATAACTTCCCTCGTCGTGCAAAGGTCAACAAGGATCCGAATCTGCTGCCAAATGTGACGCTCGACCTGCGCTGGAATGACACCAAGGGTGATACGGTATTGGCCACCAAAGCCATTACCGAAATGATATGCGATGGCATTGCCACCATATTCGGGCCGGAGGGTCCTTGTTATGTGGAGGCCATCGTGTCGCAGAGTCGCAACATTCCAATGATATCCTATGTAAGTTTATTCCCGATTTATCCAGCCACAGACAATTTCATGCATCGCCTTTTTTGTTCGCAGAAATGCGCAGAGTACCGTGCATCCGCCATACCGACGTTCGCCCGCACGGAACCGCCAGACACGCAGGTGAGTGGTGACCCAGGGGGGGTGGGGGTTGCAACAGGTGGGAGGGACTTTTGCGTCCATCCTTGCCCTGAATCATTCGCCAAACAGGACAGGGGATTATCCTCGAGTGAGGGAGAACAGCCACAAGGATGTGGCACTAAGACAAAGGTCATGACCGCCTGCCTGCACGACCCCCTGGAGCGCACTCTGCTCTTTTTGGAGCCCACTGGAGCATACATACTCGTCTCTTTGCAGGTCGTCAAATCGCTGCTCGCCTTGTTGCGCTACTATGCCTGGAACAAGTTCTCCATCCTCTACGAGGACGTGTGGGGCCCGGTGGCGGACTTGCTCAAGGATCAGGCCACCAAGCGGAACATGACGATCAACCACAAGCAGTCGTTTATCGACAATCGGGCCAAATGCTGCGAACTGGGGCTCGATTGCTGTCGTTCCGGCTATTGGTATCAGGTAGGTTCGAGATATTCAAAAGAGAGTCCAAACACTCAAGGCTTAAGCTCTCTCTTTGTATCGTTTACAGCTGGTGCAGAATACGATGAACCGCACGAGGATCTACGTGTTTCTGGGTGCCGCCAACAGCCTGGTGGACTTTATGAGCTCCATGGAGACGGCCGGACTGTTTGCGCGCGGCGAATACATGGTGATCTTTGTGGACATGATGGTGTACTCGGAACGGTAAGGGATCGCCTCGATCACTGATTATACAGATTGAACCAATTTTGGCTTTGGCTTTTCACTGCAGTGAGGCAGAGAAGTACTTGCGGAAAGTGGATCAAATCGATCTCATGTCGAACTGCCACAGCACCGAGAAGTTCAACCAGCTGGCGCGCAGTCTGCTCGTCGTGGCCTCCACGCCGCCGACCAAGGGCTATGAGAAGTTCACAGAACGCGTGCGGACCTACAGCTCGATGCCGCCGTTCAACTTTGAGATACCCAAACTGTTTTCCCAGAGTAAATTTAGCAAGGTAATCGATTGAATGATCCGTGTTATTGGAACATACTTCTGCCATGTGTGTGTGATGTATCTTGCAGTTCATATCGATCTATGCCGCCTATCTGTACGATTCGGTGAAACTGTATGCCTGGGCTGTGGACAAAATGCTGCGCCAGGAGACGCGTGTGCTCACCGACGAGGTGATCTTCGATGTGGCCAGCAATGGGACGCGTGTCATCGATACCATCATCAAGAATCGTACTTATATGAGTGAGTTCCCGTCCCGCCAATCCCTTCATTCTTGCTGATCGTCTTTGTCTGTATCCAACATACAGGCGTCA